TCATGTCTATGGTTTAAAAATCATTTTACTCTAAATAGTATATTAGGGCAATAGTAACTTAGCTGTGATGTTTCAGTTGTTCAAATAGATCCAGGCAACAATGCCAGGAACAAAGTCCAACTTTTTAAAAAATATGAATCCAGCCATATGAACAACATGCCATCAGAAAGAAGCTCCAAACCTTTAATTATTTAAAGGCCAGCACAAAGAGGACAGTCACTTAGCCTGGAAGCTCATTTATGCTCTAAATCACACACGAAGGGGAAAGGTGACCATGTCATCTTAGGTGAAGCACAAAGCACTAAACTGGATGACCGAGAAGGAGGTGGGTGCCTTCCGGGACTTCCAAGGCCACTGGAGGAAAATGAAAGCAGGCAGGTGGGGGAGGGGCGACAGCACACCTGGAGTCCCCGCGGGATTCCAACAACCACATCCAGGAGACAACAACAGAAACGACTCGTACTTCTGGGCACTTTCTCTGTAGCTGCTTCACGTGCACTATGCCACGTATCTTACACGACCCCAATAGGTCGGCACCAACGCTACGCCCATTTTACAGATGCAGCAACGAAGCCAAGCAAGGCTAAGCAACATGCCCCAGGCCCATTTTCTCCTCTCCTGTCGTCTTCACCTTCAGGCTGAACAACCGCAGAAAGCCATGGTAGTTATCCTGCATTTTTCTGCATTTGCCTTGCAAATCAACGCCAATACCACCAAAAAACCTTGAAATATTGTGAAAACACCCATAAATAACAGCTCGTCCTGTCCTTTGCCCTGTGGAGGTAGACAGAAGGAGAATAAATGAAGCCGTCATGCTTTATTGTACGCTGGCATGAATCTTGAGTCAGTTTGAAAGATTATTTGCTGGATAGACAATTCTCATTTTATATGTTTTTATGCATTTATAAAATGCATAACCCCCTCCCCCCAGCTCATTTCAGCTGGGCCTTATGCCACAAAAACCCAAAGGAATGACTGTAATTCAAAAGTGAAGATAAATTTTTAAAATGAAACCAATACAATGGTTCAGAAAATGGATAAAATGAGAAATAAAACTGGATTCAACAAGATTGGATAGGTCGGTCCATAAAGGAAAGTCTACAGGCAGCTATTTCAGGGTGGAAAGGAAAAAGTGATTACTCCAGTGGGAACTCCAACGGACCACCAAGCGTTGGATTCACTCTGAAGATGTGTGTTATTTGCCCTGTACAGAGGTTTCCAAATACCGGAGCCAACACTGAAAAACTTGAGTTTTCATATACAACCAAGATTTCTGGCTTCTCTTAAAACACTGACCAATCCTAGGCCCCTCATTTCCACTTGAGATCAATTGGCAGAGCCTTCCGGAACCTTTTCCTTTGGACACACACAGCCTCTGCAATCGCCATGTCTCCGTCACCACTGTGACCCTGCTTCCTGAACTCTTCACTCATTTACATTATCTGCCAGGCCCTACAGATCTCAGAATTTGCAGCTGTCTATTCACATGTGCTCAAGCTGAAGACTGAACTACCAGCTGGCCTAACACTAGCCCGTTACAGACCTTCGTGCTGCCGAGTTCCAAACATTGGCTACCGGGAAGACCTCTCTCCTTTCAAAAGCCCTCAGTGCAGTAACTTTAAAATACAGCCTGCACATTTTTGACACTGATCAGCAGGGGTGTCTCCTTCTCTTGAATCTGGGCTCCCTGGGCTCCATGACTGCTTACACAACAGAATATGGCAGACATGACGCTGTGTCATTTCCGAGCCAAACTCAAGAAACTACCTATTTCGACAGGCGGTGTCTTGGGATATTCGCTGTCGGAACAGAGCCACCATGCTTTGAGGAAGCTCAAGCCACCTCGTGGGGGGCTGGCACAGGGAGGACACAGCCAGGTCGGTGAACCACTGCCCTGATTGAGCCTCCTCACCTTGCTGTCCTCACTAGGCCCTGACCAAATTTCAGATGCATACACAAAATGAGTGATTGTTGCTGTCTGAAGCCAACAGGCTTTGGGAAGGTCTGTTATGTAGCAATCCATAAACAGAACATCTGCTCGGTCTGAACACCGAGAAGGGCTTTCATAGCACACAGGGGTGAACGAGGACGACGCGGTTCCCTACACGACAGTCCCCACACTGTCTTCCTCACCTGGCCGATGTGCCTTTGGAACTGCCATGTTCATCACTCGTCCTCCATCCTGAGGTTTGGGGGGAGATGCAGTGAACCTGCAGATCCCCGATTCTGAAGGGGTGCTGGAGGTCAGACTGTCTGTGTACTCGTTTGTCCCTGCCGTCAACTGTTCGGATGACGTGTCTGAGATGAAGCACTCCGTGATGGTGAACTTGGCGTGCCTCAGTTGTTCTTCCATCTTGGCGTGTTCGTAGGCCCTGGCCAGTTCTTCGTAAGTGGAGGAGGCACTTTCTGTGGAGACCATGCTGCTTCTTGCTCGATCTACACCAGGAGAAGGAAAAATTGAGACGGATGAGTCATCATCATAAAATTGAACCAACTCAATGGCCTGTTCTGGCTTGTGGCTATTGCTTCCGGATCACTGTGGGATCTGGCGGGGGCTCTGGCTTTTTGTCAGAGGGCTCTGCCCTGCCACTTTGAGGTCAGCTTCATAAGCCTTAGCACATTTGGCTCAGGGAAGCTTTGTTTCAACTGACTCACTGGAGTCAGATGTCCCCAGCCCGGGACATTTCCATAAATAAGTAATGCATCTTCCTTAAAAGATTCTGCTTTTAGTGAAAACAGTTGGAGATTCGATGTAAATGAACTGCAGGCCCCCCCTCCCTGCGCTGACTTGCAAACCAATCTGTGTCATGGAGACTCTCTAATTGGCATGAATGATTTGGGCTCTGCAGTTCAGCTCCTCGGGCCTTGGCTTGGGAAGGAAGATGCGATAATGCCTGGAAATGAAGATGTCACTTGGCATGGAACTTGGCCACTGGGAGAACGGTCCTCGATCCCTGGGACTCACCCTTTATTGTTGCCACCCTTTATGGGGACTAGGAAACAGCCAGGACAAAAACCGGTGCCAATTTGTGCCTTTGAACTGGCCACATCATCTTGGCCGGAGAGATCTCTGCATTTTAAAGCCACTAAAAAGTTTTGAAGTCACCTCTGTGGAACTCTGAGACTCTGCTCAGAGGAATAACAGCCATAAAAATAAATTCACAGGCCAACGCTCCACCTTTGGAACACTGTTTTTGAAGTATCTCATCAAGAACAAAAGAAAAATGAGCATTAAAATCTCCTACAGCTATTAGGTTCAGATATAATTTCTTTTCAAAATTTAAGGGGGGCGGGGTTTGGCAACCCTGTGCTATTCTTAGGCCCTGTCTTCTCTCTGAAGTGAAATCGAGGTGGTTGATGGCACAGACTCGATGACTTATCTTATCATCAACCCCTGTTTAATTGTCAAACGGATCAGCCTATGTTCCCTATAGAGGGTGCTCTGACCTCGTCATGTAACTGCAAGTACAGTGTCTTAATCCTGGAGAGGGTGGTGGGTCAGACGCCCTCACAGTGTGATCAGCAGTTATTGCAATCATGTGGGTGAAAATTTAAAACTGTCGCTATTTCTCCCAATGGGGTAGGAAGTGAGAGGAGAGAGAGCAGCCTGGGGCTGAGGTTCGGGACACCTGCAGAATAGATACATTTGGTTCTGGTTTGCAGAATTCACCAGGCCATGTATGGAGTAAAGGCTATACAGCTGTGCTGGTAACTGTTAGCTAAACAGCCTAACAATTTGGAGGTGACATTTCAAAGAGAATAGGTGGAGGACAGGAAGCCCTTTCTCCCTCCTCCAAGGAGCCCTGTCCCCAGGGGCCGAGGCAGAAGCGTGCAGGGTCATACCTGTGTCTTGCGAGGGGCTGACGCTGTAGCTGTCGCTCTCCTTGTCTACCGACCCCGCCGCCCTGGGCGTGGGCAGCCTCCAGTCCGTGGTGAGCGTGTGTGCTGAAATGGTGGGGTGGGGTCTGTTGAGGGTCCACTGGCTGGCATAGCGGTTTCTTGCTGTGGGCCCCGCCTTTGCGTTCCTCCTGGTGGTGGGATCTGCGAAGGGCCAAGAATCACGTCTGTCTTTGTCTCCAGAGCAGCCAGTGGGAGCGAGCATTCAGGGCGGCTCTGCCCACCCAGCTCTTGCCCACCCGCCCGAGCCCTCCATGAAGCCATCCCTGACTTTCCCTGCGTGGAGTATACTTTGCCTCTCCCTGTGTCCCGAAAACCTTCTTCTGATACATATGCATATAAACCATGCTGTAGCAGAAAGAACACTATATTCGGATTCAGAAGTTATAGATTTGAGCCTTGCTCTTGGCGCTTAATAATTTTGTCACGCCATATACATCATTTGAACTTTCTGGGAATGACCATCTGCTGTAAAACAAGGGAGCTCTGCCATGTGTCCTAACATGGCTTTCTTTCCAAAATTCTTCTTCCCTGAAGCGTGGTTATGAATGATCATGTTCCCTCCAAAGATATGTTCATGTTCTAAGCCCCAGTAGCTCAGGATGTGATCTTATTTGGAAATAGGGTCATCATCGATGTAATTAGTTAAGATGAGGTCATACTGGAATAGGGTGGGCCCTTTATCTGATACGATTGGTGTCCTTATAGAAAGAGGAGACAGGCACGGGGTGGGGAAGCTGGAAGACCACAGGACCGTGGAGGCAGAGACAGAAGTGTTACAGTTGCAAGCAAATAAATTTGTTTTGTGAAGTCACTCAGTTTGTGATACTTTGTTACAGCAGCTCTAGGAAACACACGGGTGTCTGCTGTGTTACTGTTGTCTTATGTTTACTCATCGTTTCACTTAGGGCTGTTGTATTTCCTAAATCGAAAGCTGCCAGAGCAGAACGACCAGACCTCTTTTCCAGACACTGTCTAGGCGCTCTGCATATGGCAGCACACATCTTCAGGGGAATCGTCTGAACTTTAACAAAGACGTCGTGGATTATTTAATATGGAGAACAAAGGGTTAAGCTGGTACCAGATGAGTTTTACTTTTCCTAGATCTGAGCCAATGGCAGCAAGGCCATGCAGTGGACCGAGTTCTTGGCTCAACACTTTGGTGAGTGAAGAAGAAGGATATTCTACCAGCAAAGAATGTTGGGCACTGGGGTAGGCCCCCACATTGCCTGTTCTGGAATTCTATGGAAAAGGTGAGAAGTTCCATTACCTGGAACGACTTTTGTGGGGCTCCATCCTGAAAGCGACGTAAAGTCCTGGATGGGTCTTTCCCACCTTTGCATTCTCTGCTTCTCAGAGGGGAATTTTATGCAGTTATCTTACACAATGGTCTGGCCACGTGTAAACACAGCAGCGTATTCACTGCTCAGCTGTCGTGAAGTTGCAAAGGAGCCGAACCGAGAGGCTCCACCGTGACATGATTGCCCTGACTTACGTGTGTGCTCTCGCGAGCCCGCAAGTCTCCCCGGGCAGGGCCAGTGGTGCTCCTCTTTGGACCCACCCACAGGGCCTGCAGTCATCCCTGGCATACAGAGAAGTGGCGCAGCGATTACGTGATAAAAAGAAAACCCACCCCTTCTGCCTTCCAGTCAGACAATGCCTCTTAGTTACTTCACCGCGCCCGGCTCCATCCTGGGCATCTGAGGTCTCTAGTGCAGTGTCTGCGTGACACCAGCTTGTTTATAATTCCGTGTCAGGACGTGAGAGGCTGCCACTGGGAAATGGAGAAACGACTTTCTTTTTAAATAGAAGGTTTTCTTCCTTGCAAGTTTCTAGTTATTGTTCTTTGAACCTCATCCATCATTCTACGATGCTGGAGGGGAATGCTAAGATGGCAGTCAAATAGATATATTTTAACATTTCCTGGGTCATCAAAATACTTGGTCTCAGCGCATATTCTCTGGGGCATTGATTTTAAGACACATTTCATCCCTTATTTGCAAAATTCCACAGAAGACTTTATCGGAAGATTTTTTTTTTGCCTCAATTAGAATGTAAATGAGTTATGCTGGAGCTCTCTAGACAACAAGGTGTGAATGATAATCGTGTGTCTTCACTGAAATGCTAGGAGGAGGGCCTCAAAGAGATAGGAAGGCAATATTCTGGGTAGGAGGCTAAATGCCTTCCGGGCACTGTCCACTTCATAAGCGGAGCTTAAATAAGTGCAGCTTGTTATTTAAATGCTAATGAATCTTTGCCAGGAAATTACCCAACCCCTTACATAAGTTTCCAGGGTTCTCATTTTTATTCTTCTTTAAGTTTCTTGCAACTATAACTGCAGATCATTTTGAGCAAGTTTACCCCTGGCGTGGATACTTGGGGGGCAAAGGGGTTTGATAGTCACGCTTCAAGGATACAGTTATTTCCTCGAACACCCCAAACCCTCACCTATGTTCCCTCCCCTTGAGCTCACCCCCTTGGTGGGGCAGAAATCTTCACTCCCTCAGTCCCTTTTCTAGTTGAGATCATCCTGTTTGGAAAATTCCCTGGGAAAGTGGCACGTGTCAGTCTCTATTCAAAGCCAGAACTCTTTTCAAGTTAATTTTGTTCATTATCTCTTTTTTCCTAGATGAGGACAGTTTTGCCAGTGGCCTGATAATGTTGAAAATATAGGTCATGATATTATTTCCTTGAACCACAGCCTGCAGGTCTGTTCTGCACCGAACAGGCATCCTAGAGGCAAAAGTGTCTCAATATGTAGAATACCGGGGTGCTTGACACATTTCTTTAATAATCAGGTTTTGGGAGCCATTGCTTTGTACCTGAACTGAACTGTGCTGTATCATAGCTTCTGAGACAGCGGCTAAAATAAAATTTTTACTTGGATTCCCCTGGGTAGGCTCCTTTGTGTAACTCACCAGCTCATCCACTAAGCAAACAAATGCTGGGATTTACTGCCCCTGCATGGAAAGGATTTTGTTAGGCTCCTCGACATTCTAATATAAATAAAACTTGGTGATTAAGCATCATGCTTGCTAAACGGCTGGTAAGTTAGAGGGTAAGTGATATAAATAGTTCTTGGCCTTTCAGCATGGGGTCTGGACCCGAATTAAGCTTCTGCTCACTGAATCAAATTATTTTAATTATCCTGAATTTGGGATAAGAGAGGATTTTGTGGATAATAGGGTTACAAAACATGTCATGTGTGCTGTGATCATGGTATTAATCTGCTTTCATCCCCTGCTATTGGTTTCCAGATCTTGTAGATGCCGAGGCCTCAGCTTTACGTAATGAGTTCACCAGGTGTCCCATAGAAAGGATGACACTGGCAGGCCTGAACATTCCCGCATCTAACTAACAAATATTTATCAAGGGCTTATTACACACCGGACAGCTGGACGCGCCTCTCCCACACCAGGCATTTCTATCTCTAGTACCTTTCTGGGTGATAGTCTATTTTTTTTCAAAGTCTCCACAATAAAGGTTGAGTCTCTGCATGTTGTAAGCTCCTGTTACTTAATACACATACATGTGAAGTCTGATCTTTAGTTCTGACACATCCTTTACGTAGCATCCTCTCTACTTACAGGTATTGCAGAGTGGCTGAGGGTGAGAGCTTTGGCAACAGCTTGCCCGGGCTTGTGGTCTGCTTCTCTACTCACTGGCTGTGTAACTGGCCAAGTGACCTCATTGGATGTGCCTAATTCCGTCCTCTGTGAGACTGAGGGGCATCACCACCCAGCCTCAGAGCTATTGTGTGAGTTCAGGGAGATTAACGTGCTGCAGCACCCGGGCACAGTGGCAGGGCACAGTAAACCGTGGTTCACCTTGCCCATGGTTCCTGCACAGCAAGCACTTGGCCGGGGATGGAGCACAAACTGAATTTATCGGGATGATGGAGGCAGGAGATTTAGTGGGTTGGTCAGGAAGGCTGAAGATTCAGTTTAGAGGGTTTAACAAACAAACACCCATTACAAATCATAAAATTAGATGCTAGAGAATGTTTGTGATGCAGAAAGGAGCTGAATAGTAGAGGTATTAAGAGCGGGAGCTAGGTCCTATTCATTTCCCAGCTCAATGCTACATATATCACGAGTGCTTGGTAAATAGTGCTCTCTGCACGAATGAATGAATGAATGAATGAATGAATTACTTCCAGGTAAATATGACCAAAAAAAAAAAACAAGTCAAGACTAGTACTTATTACTTCATATGTCTTCATACCTTTTGCAAGTAGAATTGACTTAAGCCCTCCTAGACAGTGGTCTTGTTGGGAAGCCGCTGCAGAGCGTGCGGCGGATTCTATGCGCATGTTAAAAGAGACACCTCTCACCGGGGGAGGACACACGTCCACCCAGACGACCAGGTATCTCAGGAGACGGAGGACAAACAGAGGGGAATGGAAGTGATTGCCCAAGTCCTGTTTAAGCTACTCCACATCCTTTCTTTTCTATTCCCACTGCTCAGCTCTCAGAATTTGACAGTTGATCAGTGTTTATTTACTGAATGTCTACCATGTGTCAGACACTGTGGCTGGTGTTGGGGGTGAGGACATAGATTCAGTCCCAGTTTTCAAGTGGGACCATAATGCACAGGACAGACAGGGAAGTAAACACCACAGCAGACACAGATGTGTTTTCACACATTTACACAGACAAACAGTCAATTGTTGTGATTTCTCCCATCCTCATAAGAATTTGTTGCAACCCTTTGGCACACTAATAAATGCTTAGAAACATAACTTCTACAGTGCAATCATTCTAGTGTACAAACAACATATTTTAGATGCTCTTCTTAAGAACAAAGAATTCCTGCAATGACAACAGTTCTAACATCCCAGATAGAATAATAACATCTTTTGTAGTTGCGAAAATAGAGGACATGAATGAATCTCTGCAAATATGACAAACTGCAGGGAGAAGAACCTGCTCCCCGGGACTGAGTTAACACAGGTGTTAACACCTGGACAGAGGTGACAAGCTCTGAGGCACCAGAGGTGGGCAGAGGACTGGGCTTCGGAAAGTTCACGGGTTCCAGACTCCTGCAGCTGCTGTGGGGCCAGTCCCCCACCGTTTCTAATTCTAAATAAAAAATGGAATGTTGTCAGTCCTTTGCACTGTGGTTTTGGAGGAACATTTAATGAAAGAATGATCCTGCAGATTTTTACTAATACAGAGGGTTCTGCAGACGTTAAATGAATAACCTCATTTTTGGGGTATGAGAGAGCCAGAGACTGAGGCATGAATTTGAGCAGATGTGCCTGATGTTAGTAAACATTATTTAAGGAAGTTCATCACAGAGGAAAGAAACATTGTCTATAAGCTGTAGTGTTTCTGTGTGATTATCAGGCTAAACCCCCGGGAGAACATCCCATCCCTCTCAGAATGAAATGCACTTGCATGATGCTGGCTTTTGAGGCCCTAGAAGAAGAGAATAGCTGTGTCTCTGTCTCAGCCCTCACCACTTTCCCTGCCTCGTGCTGCATTCCAGTGACACTTCCGCCCCCAACACGCCGGGGAACCGTGGGAGCTTTCCCCTTCTGCCCCTCTGCCTGGCAGGCCAGCTCCTGCTGTGGCTCTGGTCTTGGTCCTTGTCTTCTCCTCAATGGACGTCTTCCCAAACGGCTCAGATCCAAGGCAGCACCCCCCACCACCCTCAAACCCCTGCTGACTGGCCATCACTTCATTCTGTTCTACTTTTGTCTAGCACTTACTGAGAAATGAAAAATACCTTAGTCCTTTGTTTAATGTCTGCCTTCCCCTACTGGAATGAAATGAATGTCTCTCGATATATCCCCATCACGGAGCACTGAGCCATAGACGTAAAGTGAGATGTTAATAAATATTTGCGAATGCCGAATGAATGCATTCTTAGACTTCCCCAGCCACACTTCCAACTTTCCAGCCACGAGATACACAGACCTGTCCCTCCCACATGCATTCTGCCTGCCACTCACCAACTACTGGTTTATAGTCTCTGCTCGGACTCAAATTCATGTCTCTGCTGATATTTTAAATGCCACCAAATCAACTTCTCATTATTCTGAAGTTGGAAGTTTCCCAGTGCTTTCATTTTGCTGCCTCTCCCTCTGTCTTAACTATATACGATTAGCTTCTGTGCATTTCTCTGGTGCTAGCTGCACACTGAAAGGAAAGTGGAAATGCGTGTTGCTTTTTAGCAGAAAGACCTGGTGTGCTGGAGGGATTCTGCACCACTGTGTCACATGTCCTCCTGTGTTGCACGGGACACATTTCCAACCTTTGGGGAAGGGTTTCTCAATGACAGTCCAAACAACCATCATCAGAACCATCCAGGGTGTCTGTTACAATGCAGATTTCCGGGCCAGAACCTCTGGTGGGGAGCCCTGGAATTGATGTTTTAAACAGGCGCCCGGATGATCTGATGCACACAAGAGGCTAAAAATACTCCCTGGGACATCTGACCTGCTGTCTCTGTCTTCTTCCTGCTCTTCTGTTACTGCATTCAACAATTCCCATGCTGACTGGGCCAAGGGAATGCTGACATCAGGGATTCATCAGTCTAAAAGGGCAATCCCTTCAGGGTCTATATAATAGCCCTTTCCTGATTTAACAGCAAGAAGTGGCCCAGAAACCCATCAGAGCAGTGTCCTGAAGCAGTTGGAAGGCAGGCCAGGAAGATCATAAGAGAGAAGCCAATGGCTGGATGTCAAAGCCCTTGAAGCATGTTCTAAGAGCAAGGCTCTCATACACACCCCTCGGCAAAGCCAATTCTCTCTCATGCCCCGTCCGTATCCTCAGAACGTGCGAATGTCATTAAGAGGAAGGAGGTAAGGTTAGACAGAAGGAAGAAGTCAAAGACTTCTTTAGCATGTTTTAAAAACATTTTTCAAATGAATTTCAATGCCTGTTCAAACTGTTTCCTGTATATTACAATGTTATTTAGTAAGCAACCGGTTTGTTTCAGGAAGCTCACTGCATTTCACGAATGCTTCATAGGTTAGAATTTATGAAGAATAGCTTTTAACATTACAATATTTATTTTCCTAACAATAACACACTACTCTAAGAATGTAAATTTTTGCAAAGGAAGTGATTAGAGGTTTGAAAGCTAGACATCAAAGCTTCCAAAATGATAATAATCGGGGCATCAATTTCTCAGTCTTTAAAGAGATTTAGGAATAATTTCAATAATGAAAAACAAGACTATCTAATTCATAGGCTCTAAATACATATTAGGGGATTTAACTTCATTGCAGTAATTAATTTCCATATATTAGGGATGCAAATATTAATAACTAAATCCAACATAATCTCCAGGTTAGCCAGAACCATGATATTCCTCAAACAGTGCGTTCAAGGGGAAAATCATAAACTTTGAGGACAGACAGATCCACAGCTGAATCTTGGTTTCACTACTTATTATATGTACTTCTTGGGCTGCTCATCTAAGTTCTCTGAGACTCAGTTTTCTCATCTGTAAACTGGGGTCTATAACGTCTACTTTATGAGTATGTATCTTACAGGGTTGTTGCAAGGATAACCTGTGTGACACCATCTTTCTATCCCAATATTGGCATATAGGAGACACACACTAATGTTAAATACCTTCCCCTTTTCCTATGTTGCCTAAATAAAAAAAAAATAAATTAAATTTACCTGAAAGTTCTAGGACTTTTCATAGTAAACCAATACCAAGAGTCATTGGCTTCAACCAACATAATTTTAATTATAGCTAAGATCAAACAATAAAAACTCATTATTCCAATTAAAGATGTTATTATACCTATTTGTTTCTTGACCTAGGTCTGGAAAGCCCCACATTTTCATTTGATAGGGATGGAGTGTTGATATGTTTTCAGCATTGATAACACCCCACGTTTTAAGTGTTGTTGACCACTCACTTGTTCCCGGCCGAGCGTCCGAAACATCCACTAAGGGCCCGGTGGCCTGAGACACTGACTGGTAATGGACCGTGTGGGTGACTGTCAGGGACTTCTGCTTGGCTGCCTCTCCGAAGTCAGCGTCTGTTAGCAGGACTGTGGAGCGATCATCTGCAGAACAGCAGGACACAGAAAGCCACACACGTCATCCCCCTGCAATGACTCCCTGGCCTTCTCCCTCTGCAGGCACTTGTGCTACTGTTACTGGAAACAACGACAGTGGCCTCCACGAAAGCAACACACATGACCACAAACTCAGGTGCTGTGTCCGCACCACTCTAGAGCGTTAGAAGCCGATGCTTAGGGTTGACTTCTGGAGCGTGAGCTGGAGAGGAGGGTGACCACGAGGAGAAGGCGCTCCGCTCTCTGGGCCCAGTTTCTTTTCATTAATCAGGCATTGATTTGAGCAGCTCGCTGCTGTGGCTGCCCGCCGAGTAGAGCTTTGGACGCATGTGTTTGTCCAAAGCTCATCTGAGACACTGTCAGCAGTGCCAGCGCCACCCGGTGATGGGGCTGCCCATCAGAAGGGGTCCCTTTGGCTGCTGGGACGCTCTGTTTGCAGCACTGGGACCACACCACTGTGGGGCTCTACACTGGGGCAGGCTCTCATTCTGAACTTGGCAAATGTTTGGAGGGAGAAAAAAAAGAAGGGAAAATCCAATTTTCCAAGCTTATCAATTCCTCTATGTTAAAGGAGTTGAGGTACATTCCTTGTCTTCCCGCCTTTTGTGAGCTTTCGTCACTCTGGACCATCTGTTCATTGACTTCCCCTAAAATGACTCGCCTGTCAGATTTCCAGGGTCCCCCTGCTGCAGGCACTTGGAGGTGGGAGAGGCAAGAGCCCGCGTTTAGCTGGGTTCTGAGCGTCTCAGTGCTTGGAGAAGGAGCAGCTGCTTGAGCTGCGCCATTATTTGGTTGCCTCGGGATTTTCATTACTTTGTTATGATACTTTTCACACTTTCTTAAGAGCTTTTGTACTCCGAGGGAAACTTAGGTTAGGATATGCGAATCTTTCATAAATTTACAAGGACAGCAGCCCAGGATGCTGTCCTGTGAGTTTATCAGTCAGCGGGACCATGCCACAGCCTGTCCTGACACCGCAGCAGTGATGTGAAAGTCGTAAACAGCACAGCTCGGCTTCTGTGCCCAAAAAAGGCTCTGAACAGAATGAACCCTACAAAATCCAATTACTCAAGCTCTGGCAGGAAAGGAAAGCCTCTTGAAGTCAGAACAAAATTTCTTGGCAGAGGAATAGAGGGAGGGCTGCCAAGATGTCTGCGAGCATCTCAGCGCACGGTGCAGCACAGGTTGCCACCACGGCGGGCACCAGGGCTTGGCTTGGAGGTCCGGCCCCTCCGCCATCACTCAGCCCCTCAGAGAGGGTTTTGCCTTTTTTCAGAGACAGTTTCTTACAACTGAATGGACCTGGCACCAGAGGCTGCCTGTCCACATTCATCTTTCATCAATAACGTGGATGCGTCACGGTTTCCAGCAAGCGGCCCTTCTAAGAGCACACTAGCTGATCTGCGGGGCTAGGTTTCCCACTTGCATTGGGAAATTCAGTGCCTGTCAGGTCGTGAGGTTGACCGTTCATTCTGGCTTGAGATTAATGTCCCTCTAATATTGGATTCTTGTAGTCAGAGCCCAGAGCATTTTAAAGCACCACAGTTCAACTTCCTCAATAATTAGAAAATGCCATCGACCAGCTGTCAGGCATCACCAGGAGGTAAACCACTCTTGGTGATGGATGGTCTTGTGTGGACTGTGATGTATCTGCAGCCGAGGGTCATTATTGCATACAGAAATGAGTGACAGGCTTTCTCTGGTGTTTGACCAGCAAGGACTAGCTCTGGCAGGCCATGTGCCACTCACGGGATCCACCTAGCATCTATTTTAACAGCCTTATGGAGAATGACGAACAAACGTAATGAGGCGCATTTCGCAAACATGGCGACCTCCACGAGGCGCATAACTTCTACATCTCAGTTGCAAAAGTAGCACCTTTTTATACCTTGGTTAGAAGGGTTAAATTAAATAATATACATAAAACTTTGGCTTATAAAAGCACAAGGTCAAAGGAATTATATTTTGATTTTTGAACTCGTGTTTCAAAGGAAATTTTAGTTTTAACGCTCAATCTACTGAGTTCAATAAAAGGTTCCAGGTATACCTCTAAACAAGAAAAGGTATTCAAAAGCAAAACATGCTGCCTTATCCTGATGTGAAAAGCTAATAAAATTTGGTGCATTTTAGGGCAAGTGGTGCCTCCTCCTCAACACGGGAGTTGAGTCTTCAACTGAAGTCAGTTGATTGAGGGCACGTTGGACTTGACCAACCTTTCTCTAAGTGCTGCTGTGCCTGAACCCAAGCGAATCCAGTGAGGGCAGCCTGGGCTTTAGAATTTGGGAGCCATAAGGCCAGGATGTCTCCACTGGTGGGTGGAGGAGGTGCTCTGCCCTGCTGGCCTCCTGCTCCCGGCAGGAGGTGGCTGCGGTATGTGGTAGGAGGCAGGCAGTTTTATCCAGACCCCAGGAAAGGGTGGCCCAGGGAGTATGCCAGCTCCCTCCAAAACAAACACAGTGAACTTCAAAAAGAGGCAGCTCAGGAACCTGCCACAGAGTCTGTTTCCATGGATACTGGAAAGCTTGGGGAACCTCTAAGGCCAGGACTTATTGGAAGTAGCCTGTAGGTGTTGAAGCAGGTGGCAATAGCCCATCACCAGGGAAATGGCATGGCAGTGAAGCAGGTGGCCAGGTGGGGACCCTGGCTCTGCTCCTGTCTGTGTGGCCTTGGCAAGCTACACTAACCTCTCTGCATCTCAGTTACAAAAAGAGTACCTTTTTCATACGTTGGCTGGAAGGTTAAATTAAATAATGCACATAAAGTGCTTATAAAAGTGTGTGACATTTAGAGACTTCTCAATAAATGTTAGTTATTCTATTATTGTAGTGAAAATATAAAGTCTCTGTTTCTGGAACAAATGACACTATCGAGGCAGGCACTGTGGAACAGTGGTCTCTGAGGGAAAAGAGCCCGGAAAGTGTCAAGTCACCTGGGTTCCGGGTAATTGAGCCACAAAACCTGTCTGTGGCTGCTCTAAAACCGTACAACAGGGGCTGGGTGTTTCCCAAAGCACTGCAAAGGAAACAGTTTCAGGATATTTCTGGGGTGCCAGGGATGGATGGAGGATACTTTGTACAAAGACATTTCCTTTTTCTAGTGTTAAGTATAGTTTAAAGTTTCTCTTTAATGAAGGCTGCCTTATCAGAGTTGTTGAGGAGAACGTAGAGTAGATTTCCAACCTGTGCAGGCCTTCTGGGTTTATATGCGTTTGACTACAGATGTAATCCTTGCAGTGCCATCAGTAGCCTCCCTGGGAAAGACCCAAAGTGGATCAGAGCTGGGGACCTCCTGTCCCAGATGACCACTGAGCTGTACATAAGTCAGATTTGTAATAAGTACATTTGCAGGTACTTATTATTCTCCACAATAGCAATTCTCTACCATCTAACTTTTATACTCATGTAGCATTCAAGATGCTTTCCTGTCTAATGTTTCCCATGCCCTGGGCTTTGGGCTGAGAAGGCATGGCTGTGGCAGCCACATTGTGTAGAGGGGCAAGCGGGACACCTTACCGATGGTCTCCATCGTGTCTCTCTCTTCGATCAAAAGCTGAGCTCTGGGGATGTCAATGTGCATTCTCAGGGTCTGCTGCTGCTTGCTCAAGGTGTCTGAAGTCCGAGTATTCTTACTGGGAATGAGATGGGGGGACACAGGAACAAATCCAGTTCAATGTCACATTGTGCCACTTAGTTTATTGTCTAATTACACAAATTCCTTGAGGGGAGGGGAAGGGAAAAGTACACGATATGAGATATTTTTCTTTCATTTCATCAGACTGGAGAGGTTTAGAAAATACAAATTATCAATAGAGATTGATTCCATATCAATAGCACCTTCATAAATTTCCTATTTCTTGTGTAAAATCTAGATGAAACAAATGAAAAGCGATTTTAAAACCAACAACATTTTCATTGTCAGGTGTGAGATACTGCGGTGAGAGTGAGTAGCAGGTGCACAGCTCTTTCGCTGGATGGGGTTTTCCTAATGGATTCGTATTTATATCTGGTGCCATTTTATTTGTGTTTTAGTGACAAGCCACAAACCTTGTTAGCTTCCCTGACATTAGTTTAGTTTTCCTGATAGGGCATTTAAGAATAGAAAAAAAAGCAATGACTATAATAATTTTATCTCGAAATTTGTGTACCAGAAAATTACTCTTAGAATGAGCTGTTGTCTAAATGTAAATGAAAATAGGTAGTAAAACTGCTTGGTATAATCATATCTAGTTACAGCCCGTGGTAAAAAAAAAAAGATCCACATTGCACAAAAATCTAAAAAAAGTCAATAAAGGCCTTAATTAGCAATCCACTTTAGAAGGATGCTTGTTCAGTCTTTACAGAATTATAAGGATTTACTGGATGTTAAAATAATGTTTCCAGAAACATCCTCTAAGAAGCAGTAGTCAATTGGATACTTCAGTCAATGAGATCAACTATGGCGTCTATAAATCCAGCTCAACAATTGTCAAAATCTGTTTTGGGAAAGATTTCTGGAGCCTAGTTCACTCAATGATGGTTTATCTCTGTGTTAGTTACTTCTAATAGAGAACAAGAAAGGAGGTATCCACACTGCATCTCAGATACTTTCCCTTCCAGCCAAGCAATTCGCACGGAGTCCCGGGGCTCTGTCTCTACAGATCCTTCCTTGTCAATGGGGACTTGTCCACTCTTGAACCTTAATCATTCTAAGGCCAAGTTCACTCAGATGCCTCCCTAGATGTTTGCCTGATGTGTATACTCTTCATCTGAATATAACCAACGCATCCTGCTTAGGAGTTGACCTTGAACCAGATTTCTCGTCCTGCGACGCGTAACTGGGTTATGTACCTGGATCATGCTAATTACGCAGAGCCCAGATTCAAACGTTTTGGCCTGATTTTTTTCACATGGTCTCTATACTCTTTCAAATTACTTACTTAACTAACTTATTTTGTTTGTGGTTAAAAAAAGAGAGAGAGAAGAATGCAAAAGTTAAAATACTTGTATGAAAGGAAGAGCATCTTGGGTGTTTGGGGGGCTGCATTCATGTCATGCTTAGACAAGCTACATTTCCACACAAGCATATGGGGAACGACTCCTCTGTGAATATCTGCGAGAGCTGTTTAGAAACTTCACCGGGGACTTGAGCTTGTCCTTGCACCAAAAATAGAAGTGTGAGCTAGTTCCTTCTGCTCATCATGAATAGTGATGAAGGCAGTCAGCGGCTGCTCTATTAAATGGCGATGAACACCAAGCGCAGGCCATACTTAAACAACAACGAGGGGTCTGCTATCAGACTGGCGCAGGAGGCCAGCTAAACAAAGGCAGTGAACTACGGTGACTGGTACCAGGACTTAGAATATGATTAAACTTCAAGAACCAGGACAATCAAAGCTGGAGGTAAATTCCTCCTTCTCCTTGAAAGACTGCAGGAAAATGGCCCAAGAGATCTTCAGATTCAGGAGCTCATTGCTCTTCCCGCCCTTTGCACTTGTTCTCTTTGCTTAGAACACCCCCGCCACCTCACTACTACCCAGACCCATGTGGCCGGTTCCCGCCCTTCCTGCAGGGCTCAACTCAGACGCCATCCTTTCAACGGAGCTAGGTTGGGCTTCTCCCCATTCGCTGCTAAATTTTTTCTCCTCAGCACTCATTACTCCCAAGCATATATTGAATCAATTAAATATATTTAATTGATTTGTCTTATTCATTATCTGTGTCTCTCACTGGAATATACACGCTGCAGGGGCTACCTTCATCTGTTCTCGTCCTCGTATGTTCCTAGAACTTAGGACAGTATTTGGCCATGGCTGGTGCTCAATAAATATTTGTTAAATAAATCATGTTATTTTGGGGGTACAATGTGAGCTGAGTGACATGTCCCTAAAGGCTTTGCTTTGGGGCAATGATAGTATCCTTCTCATTCTAAAAAGGTTAATAGGTCCCAACTAACTTGTTTCATTATGTTAATATTTGCGGTCATATTTGATAATCTATTGTTATATAAAGGATGCCCCTCAAAAAATATAACAATTGGTCATTAGAACAGCAGAAAACCTTCAAAAAATTTTGTTTGAAGAAATCTCATTTGTGACCCAGAAAAAGAGTCTGAATGTTTTCACCGTGGAAGCAAAACTGCATTTTTTGTATGGCATGGGATCATGCTAAATATACTAGTTACTATTAAAATGTAATCTTGGGCCACCCATTTGTTACCTGGTTGTTGGATTAAAATGAGTGGGGGAGGGGGAGGGCTGTTTACAAGGGGGAGTATTTCCCAGCTCAGCCAGTTAATCACCTGCAGTCACTACAACTCTGCAAAACCTCGATATTTCCTTAAGGTTGGGGGTGGGGGAGAAAACTAATAAAGATGTCTGTACAGCCTCTCTTTCCCCAAATACGATACAGAGCATTCCTTAAGTGTAGAGTAACAGTCAGATTGTTAGGAACATAGCTCATTCTAACACTTGAGTGAGTGTTTTTTTATTATGTGTATAAAGACATGGACATTAAAAAAGCTAAAGTAACTTAACCTCTCAGATTGAATCTTCCTCAGCTTAAAACCAGCTCTCTCACTAACACTAATCCTCTGAGCTTAAACACGTATTGGTTAGTTTTTTAGAGCAAGCCAGTCTCACCTCTTAGAAGGCTGGCATGTTTTTTAAAAAAAATAATAATCTTGCCTAAACATATAAAAGGACAATCCTTCTATGTGGATGTGGTGGATGCAGTCTCTCTTCTCTGGGGTGAAATGGGCAGATATCAGGAAGCAGGAAGCACAGCAATGAGAGGTGACACCATGCACAGGGTCCCTTAAGGGTCCATGCTGTCTGTGTCCTGCAGTCCCATGTGACTTCCTGGCCTGGGACAGCTAATCCTTCTGAAATACGCTGATACTTCTTGGTGGAACATGGCTGGAAAATAAATGTTTCGTCCACTTAGATCACAGAATGATAAAGCTAGGAACAATTTTGATTTTCTTGTATTTTAGATGAGGAAAGCATTTTGCCACACAAAGTGGCAAAATGACTTGCCTAAGATCAGAAAACCAGCCGGAGGCCACAGGAGGCTTAGAACATAGGCTGTGGGTTCCACGTTCTCCTCACAGCACCAGGCTGCCAACTACTCAGGCTTCCAGAGAAAACAGCAGCAAAGACAGGGACAGCAATTCAGTACCCTCTGTGCCAATGGAGATGACTCACCTGGACCTCCTGCACCACACTGGAAATAGGGTTGATCCTAAATTGACAAGATGGCTGACAAGGTCTTTGGTTGCTTGACCCATTCACCTGCCAGACTTAGACTGAACCAAAGTTTCATGAGTAAAAGCTTTGCTTTTACTTCTAAATTAATCCCATACAAACCCAGCTATTCCAGGAGCATGGAAATTCTCTTCCTTCTCAATCACTTTCACTCTTTTAAGGGAAAATCGCATTAACTAGTGTAAGTGGTAGTGATTACTGGTTTTACTGTTCTTAATTTCATGCTGACAACTGTCAACCTTGAAGACCACAATTGATTCCTGCTCCTATCAACAGGTAGTCTTCGAGGACAGTGATTGCCCTATTAATAGAGAATGCTTTCTAATGTCTTGCTCAGGGGCTAACGAGGAGTAGGGACGCATTCTGGGATATCAGGGGAAGTGGAAAGCAAGTCATCCTAACAGAGGAAATGCTGAACATGTCAGAAAACAGCACCCAGCCTCGCGGCCTTTCGGCGAAGGCGTGGTGGTTTGGGAGTGGACGGAGGAGGGGCAGGAGAGGTGGCAGGGAGCTGGGGACAGGGAGGGAATGGGGAGGAAAAGCGTGGGGCCCAGAAGCTCTCTGGGGGGCTGCAGGAGCCCTACTGGGGGTGCAGACTGGTGAAGTGGGGTGGAGGTGGCCTAGGGGCAAGGGCTGCCGTGGTGAGTGTAAGTCACCCCAGTCTGAAGGGCACTGTGAACACCTCCAGCACCTTCCTTACCTGGCCTGTGCCCAGTGTGGCCAGGACCTTTCCGAGAGACATCTGAAAGCCAAATTTTATGTGAAATTGCCTCATTTTAAAAGTCATCAACTTTTTTCTATTTTTAAAGTCTACATTGGCAAATTTATTTTATTTGGGAGATTAGTCATTACAAGCCCAGTGATTCTGGCTTCTTTATCTGTTTTCCAGATGTTTTATCAGATCCGCTCAATGCAAGTGCACCTGTGTCTGGATGTGCTCCACGTGATCTATAAATGTCCTCACGCTTGCTCAGCAAATGAGTACAGACTTCCACCAGAGCCTGGACTCCAGGCGTTGCATACAGATTTTTGTAATCTCGTAAATTTGGTCTAGCGTGGTTAGATACCCACCATGAAGGAGGATTGTACAGGCTGTCTGAACCTCTTTGCCTCTGCTCTGAGCTCAAGATTCCTGCCACCACTTGTCTATTTGACACCTCCTCTGGATGCTTAAAAAGAATCCCAAATGCAACATGACCCAAATAGGTCTTTTCATTCTCATCAACACCTCCCTGCAACCCAGCCCTCCAAAAGAACAAGTCCATACCCAGCCTCTATCTTCCTAATCTTTGTAGATGGCACCAACGTGCATCTAGTTACTCTCACCAAATGTCTTTCAGAGTTATCCTTGATCCCTCCGTATCATTGTTTTACCTATGATTCACAGTGTTTTAAAATACAAGATGGCCAAACAAAGATGTCTGTGGGGATGCAATCCTTGTGCCAATGGTATTTGATTCTGCCTTTGATCTTCAAACATGTTGGTGATACGGGACATGGGCTCTTTGTGAATAACAAAACAGTACTAATTTTATATGTATAGCTGGGGGAGGAAGGAACAGCACACTGTGATGGGGATGGGCGTGGGAAGGGACCCATCCTCTTCCTCTCCCACACAAATCATCCTAAAATGGCAACATCAAGTTCACCATCAGGGTCCCTGACATTTTCCTTACTTATTTCCTTGTTCACTTTTCATTTAATCATTACACTATGAAAGCCTTAAAATACAAATATCCGGGTGAGGTAACATGCCGATCTATTAATCCATGAGTGTAAATGTGTAATATTAGAGTGTTCTGGTTTTTATGCAGTAAGGAGGTTGGACAGCATGAAGAAACCAAGTGTTTGGAGAAGGGGGTGAGTGGAAAATAGGGTTCAGGGACACGGGAGGAATGCACTCTCTCCTTGTCATGTCTTTGCCTCTCACAAACCCTGTGGACGTGCAAAAGTGAAGCTGTGAAGGGTGCCCTGTTGTCTTCCAGGTTGTGAAGCTTCTCTTACTCATTCAATAGCCGCTATCCACCCACCCCCACAAGAAGAACCATGCTGGGCACTCCTGGCAGTGGAACACGCAGGCTGTGCCTTGTGGACCCGGCAGTGAGTAGGCAATGGTGACAGGAGTGGAGGTTCCCTGGGGTCAGCACATTGCCTTCCAAGAGCACAGCCCGTTTCCTGTTGTGGTTTTCCTTTAACTTGGCTAACCGTTAGACGGAAGGCATGACCTCACAAGGAGTATATTTGGGTGGAAACAAAACGAAACCTGCTTACTTATAATGAGTCTCTTTCTTCCCAGTTTCATGGGAAACATTCCACTGGTTGAGTTTACCCAAGAAGACAACTACTTATTGCACATCTCAAAATATATCATTCAGTATCTCCATCTATAACGAGGCATTACATGGATATTTTGGAATGTAAATGGAAATTGTATGTTAAAGAGAAAATGTGTAGTCAATTTCAGACTGTCATCTTTAAAAATCAAGAAATCATCAAGGCGAGTTCAAAACTATTCTTTTAAACATGATATCTGGGGTGTTAGATCTTGTTCTTACCTCATGAGCATTTCAGCTAAACTCTTTGCATCTAGGGAAAGAAAGTTAATATTAGTACATGATAAATAACTCATTGACATTCACTTAGGCATTTATGGCAAATATTCTACAGTCAGATGACAATAGCCATTTTAAAAAGTAATCATACACCCAGATCACTACTAATAAACTACAGTTTTATGGATTCCTTTTTTCTTCCACATGGAACTTTTTTATATCTTTTTTTAAATTACAAAAAGATATCACAACTATTCTGTGGCCATAAAATTCTCAGACATCTATTAAAGGTTTTATTACAAGTGATTTATTAGTCACTTCTAGAAAACCCAATTTTATTTTCAGCAGTGAGAAAATTAACATTTTGAAAGTAAGTCATTTATATTGTACAACCCACTCTTTTTATTATCAAAGTATCAGAATTAAAAAGCTTACGACACTGTAAATCACTTACAAATTGCATTATTATAGAGCTCTGAGTCCCTTCAGTTGATCAAATAATTGTATAATAAATGACATATCACTGTTTCTGGAAACTTAGAAGTTTATTACAAATTCACAAATAAAAACTGTATTTTTTTTCTCTGAGGACATTGTTTGCCAAGACCTGACTACCACTCCTGACAGAAGAAATCCTGCCTAAAAAAGTTGTAGAAAAAAACATCTACTTTTCTGGTGGCACTGTTTTATAATTCTCATTTAATCTTAAAATATAATTTATTATTTTTACACATTTTGTCCTAGCAAAATGAATGTTTTCTTTCCTAGAACACAAAAGCCTTCTTTCTGTTTTGCTTTCATTGCTCTTTAAAAAGTCTTGATGCTAAGTATGCAGTTCAGTGCATAGAACTTTCTGGAAATGGACTCGGCTGACTGTATGACTGGCTCTGTAGTGAAGAAATATGTTGGAGCATTTCCATCTCATTCCTTTTGGGGCTGACATTTAAAAGCAGGTCAGGGGGCACATGCTGTTGCCGCACAATGTGGGTGGTCCCAGAAAGACCACCTGGAGGCTGGTCCCCTTGAACCTGAGCTCAGTTACTCACGTCGTCGGCTACGCCAGTTCCCATTGGTAACCTCAGAACTGGGCCTGGTTTTGTGCACAGATGGGTTCAGTCTGGAAAATGGAACAGGTCCTGTCTACCCCACCCACATGGCAAAGCAAAGAAAGCAAAACAGCACTTGATTTCTCAGTTCATGTCTTTATATTTATCCGGAAAGACAAAGTAAATATAATGCATTTCCTCTCTCCTTGAATGATTTAACACTTACCAAGCAAATCTGTCTATATTGAATGCTAGAAGCTTGGGATTAATTAGCTCCATGTAACAACCAAGCAGGGCTAGTGCAATAGTCCAAAAAAGAAGAGAAAAGTTCTGAGGATTAAACATCTTGCATCACTTCACACATTGAGGGTTTCTCAGACTCAACTCTCTTTGGAATTGACTGCTTTCCTTACTGTGCCCAGCACAATTCCTCCCTTTTCTGTTCTTGGTCAGCCATCAGTTCTCTCTCCTGTGGTCTGCTCCTATCCACCACCTGGGGAACTGCAGAGTTGCACCGCAGCACGAAGCTGCCCACGGCACTGACGAGCTCTGACGGCAAATTCCCCCGGCCATCCCTAGCAGGCGTCTTCCTGGAGGTCAGGCTCATCCTTGGGCTTGGCCCAGAGCCATTCCAGACAACCCCTCCCTGTACTTGTCACTTTCTGCCACTTCTGCAAGAATCAGAGCCCTACCGGGTGTGGAGGGCTTGGGGACAGGAGCTGCAGGGAGTCCAGGAAATGGGCAAGACCTGGGATGTGCAAGGCTGGGTGTCCGGTGGCACAAGTGACAGGAATAGCGGTCTAGAAAGACATGGAAACAGCATTTGGGGAGAGCTGAGGTGTCTGGTTTCAAAGTCGGAGGACGTTAGGTGATCTGTTCAGAGGCACATTTGGAATCATGTTTGGGAGTGATCCCAGGGCTGAGAAGAGGCCTGGCGTTAGTCATGCTCACATCGGGAGAGCGCAAAGAGGGGATGGCCAGCTCTCACCTGGGACACACTTTTGTTCAGGGGTGAGAAGAGAATCTGGGATAGATTTAGAAAAATTTTTTGAAGTCCTGGAACCACAGAATTTTAAGTGCAATAAAGACTTTTCAAATCAGCCCCCTAGTGAATGTTGGAATCCCTTCCATGGAGTCTTAGACAGACATGAAAATGTGCTCTGTCTGCACGGATCCAGAGCTCGAGCCATCGGCCACTTCAAAGAGGGGGTCGACGCTGTTGGCGCACATCAAGTGCCCTTCCTCTCACTCCCAGCACTGACCGGCCTTCCAAGCATGCGGGGCTCTCACCTCAACACGCCCCCACGGAATCTCCCTCAGTCCAAATTTCATATACTAGTCAACATCCTCCTCCCTGGTCTGCCCAGCTCCAGCCTTTCAGCTCTCTGAGTGACACCCACACTGCAGGAAGAGTGACAGCTCTGAAACCATCCTACTGAGTCACACCTGTACCTGGAAACTTTCAAAGGGACCTGGCTGCAACAGCACTCTCCAGCACAGAGCACGGCCTTCCATGCTGGTCCTAGCTGTCTGCTGGCCTCTTGTCCCTCACGTGTGACCTCCAAGCCTCTCTCTGAGTTTCCTGCACTTGCCACTTTCTGCAGAGACCCCCACGATCTTGCTCCTGCAAGGGCCTCGGTTGACCCCACCACGCATGCAGACACACATACTCTGTGCGCCCCCCTGGCCGCTGCACTGCAGCTGGCACTGCCTTTCCAGCTCATGCTGCCACTGCCCATTTTCAGGGCCCTTGGTTCTCATCTCCAGGCACAGCCCAGCCCCTGGTATACAGACAAGCCACACAAAGATTTCCTCAGGACACATTGAATTGTGAGAAACATCTCCCTTCTCTTGTGTCACAATCCCTTGATGTAATTTCCACCTGTATACGATGATGGCACTTCCTGGAGCCATGGGCAAGCTATGCGGATATTTCCATGTAGCTGCCATTCCCTTGCTTGGCCTCAGCTTTCTCTTTTCCAGGTTAAATTCTCCTCATGTGGCATAATTTCCAGGTAATTCCCTATTTGGACTTCTCTTCTATAAGAAACATGTGATTTCTTATTTCTTTATTAAGTGGGTCTGGGCACAGACGCTGGTAACTTTTGATATTCTCCTAGCACACCAGCGAGAGCTCAGTGCTCATTGTATGTGTTGCAAATGAAGTTTTACAGCTTATATAGAAGACTTCATAACTGCTCCCATTAAATTTTATCTTCCTGGTTCCAGACTTTCAAAAAATCTCTTAAAATTTGGATTCTTTCCTCTGATTCATTAGTTTTCCCACCTGGATATGTGTCACCTCTGAGATCCGATGGACCCGCCAGCGTTTTCAGCTATAGCTTGGAGCTCCCTCATCCATCAGCCCTGTCAAAATGCATAAGGCTCCTCCAAGCCTGTGGAGGGCCCTACCATTTCCTGATTGCTTGCAAACCATCCTTTCTGTAACCTTAACTAATTAGTTTCAGTCTATAATGTGCAGTATCTATTGTTTTGGGACTGGCTACAGAGTAGAGATGCTCTGTTCACAATGGGGTTACATCCCAATAAACCCAACGAAAGTTGAAAATATCACAAGTTGAAAATGCATTTAATACACCTAACCTCCTGAACATCACAGCTTAGCTTAACCTATTCTAAGTGTGCTCAGAACACTCACGTTAGCATACAGTTTGGCAAAATTATTATAACACAAAGCCTATTTCACAATCAAGTGTTGAATGTCTCATGTAAGCTTATCTATCGTATCACATATCAGTAGCCTGGGGGGGCGGGAATCAGAATTTGGAGTATGGTTTCTATTGAATGCCTATCACTTTTGCACCATAGTAAAGTTGAAAAATCTTAAGTTGAATCACTGTAAGTCTGGGACCATCTGTATAACCATTTTCTAATATCTCTAATTTGCCTTTGACTGTTCAATGGTTATTCCCAAAAGTCCTGGAATTGTGTCTGGAAAAATTTTATTCAGAACCCTAAGATGTTATCCTTGGGCTTCTTGGGACTGGAGTCCCACAGCACTTTTCTGATCCTTCCAGTGGTGTGTGTGGGGGGAAATCTTTCCCTTCCGTGAAGCAGCATTTACTGGTGTCTACATTGCACTACTTACCCTTTGGAAACTGTGTGATAGTTCTTTGCCAACATCATTTGCAAAAAGCAGCATCTCCACGCCCTTCATATGGCTAGTACTTAGTAGGTTTTGAAAGCACAAATCAATTTAAACTATCAGGGCTCTTATTATTTTCTCAAACATCCTGAGTTTTACTCCTCTCCCCATTTCTTTCTTTATTCTTTTCTTCCTTTCTCTTCTCCCTCCCCTCCTCCCCTCCTTCCTTTCTAAAATTCTTGGTCCACATTTTCTGGTTCCAAAAGCACTTCTCCTGGTGCACATCAAGCAAAGCAGATGTGGAGCTGCTCTCCTTTCTACCTGTCATATGTTAACATGAGAACAACGTCCAAAGCCTTGCTCTTCTTGCCCAGATACAGCTAATAGCCCTTTGTGTTGCCTGTCGCTTTTTTTCACAAATTTCAGATGGATATGAGATTTAGACTTTGTGACTTCTTTCCTGAAGCCCCTTGCTACTCCTACGTATCCACCTTGGCTCTGTGTTCCTCCTTTAATCTGCTGGGTAGGGAAATGAAGAAGAAATACCACCAGGATGGTCCAGCGATATTGACATGTGGAAGGATGCAGTTTCAAAAGACAACATTTGCTAACACTCTGAATGCACAAAGAGGGCTAAAAGTGGTGGCTGAAAGGAGAATTTGATGATCAGAAGGTAACTAATCAGCTGTCTTTAGGACAGCAGTTTCATTTGAGCAGAAGGGTGGAAAGACAGCATTCGGGCATGGAAGAGAGGTAATGTAGCTGAGCATAGAATACTCTTCAAAGTATTCAGTGGGGAAAAGAATTAGGAAGGACAGTAGGTTGAATATATGCAAACTAGAAGGAGTATATATATTAATATATATTGGGGAAGGCTGAGGG